CGAGCCACTGGAAAAAGCCCACATAATTTCTCCATCTCAGGGTCTTTAAATACATCTGCAGTCTTGGTCTGTGTGGTGTTCACAGGCTCCAGGATTTGGAGCATGGAAATTTCACAAAGGGATGCCCAAACTACCCTGTCAGCTGTCGTCCTGAGTCTGAAGCACCGGGCCCACCGTCCACCCCCGACCGGTCCCTAGCCTAACATTTGGCACATCTGAATCTCTGTTGTTCCTCCTAGCCACCAGTGTAAGGCTTGATGCTTAACCACTGTAGAGTAGCATTAAAACTCCTGATGGAGTTGTAACCACTTCACACACCCTTTCTGTACATTCATTAACTGACTTACAGATTTTAAATAGATTAGCAATCAATTAAGAAAGTCGTTTTAAGTCAACAAGGAAAATTTATGTCCTGGCTAGTTTCTTGTCAACTTGACAGTAGTCATTTTGAGAATAGGGGTCCTCCATCTTAAAAATCCCTCTGGGCAAGCCTGGGGTGCGTTTTCTTGATTAATATGGGAAGACGTAGGTCATTGTGGGCAGTGCCACCTTGGGGCACTTGGTTCTGGGTGGTTTTTGTATTTTAGAAAGGCTGGGTAAGCTGGTAAGCAGCATTCTTCCACAGCTTCTGTATCAGTTCCTGCTTAACCCTTTCCTCCCCATGATGCTTTTGGTCATTGTGCTTATCACATCAGTAGAAACACCAAGACATACATTTCAAAAGAAAATGTAAAATTGTTCTTTATTGGTTTCCAAAAGCCAACCAATTCATTCGGTCCATGTGGCTGGGGTTCTTACTAAGCACTGTTGGCATATGAGGTTAGAAAAAAGCCATTTCCTTGCAACACACCCCAGAGAGATTTCACACACACATACAATCACACACACACACACAATCACACACAATCACACTCATACACACACACAATCACACACACGCACACGCACACACACACACTTGTTCCTCTGCATTGTTGGGATTAAGACATGACACCGGTAGTCCTTTGGCTGGGTCAGCAAGGTGGCTCTGCAGGCTGAGTCTCATGCTGCCTCGCCTGAGTCTGCTCCCCAGAGTGGGAGAAGAGGACCGACCAACTCCTGAAGACCTCTGACCCTCACATGTGCTTGTGCACAGAGGAAATAAACTTGGTTTGGTTTTAAACAGTTAATACATAGGAAATACAGACAGCTTTGTGGGAAGATTCCAAGTCTCCTGCCTTCAAGTGAACACTAGATTATCTTTCTCTAAAAAACTTGATAAAGTTGAATCGCTGAAGCAGCCATCAGTTCCAGTTACCAGTGTCAGCCCCATAACTTTCTTTTTGCCAAGAAAAGCCATTTCCCACCCCAGGATCGAGCACTGAAACATCCAGTGTTACCTACCTCGGTTCGTTCTCTCCCCCAAACAGACTTCTCTGACTCCATACTCTTGACTGCTACCAGGTCTCCCTCAAACACAGGCCCTGCTGCTCTCGGGTTGCCAGCACCTCCTGGACAGATCTGTCTGCCTTGGGACTGCCTTAGCACTGCCGAGGTCCCCAGTGCCTGCTGAAGATCCAGTGAGTCAACTTATTTAGAACAATAGCGTTTGAAATTCCAGGCCTCCGGTTAGCTGGCGCATTGTGGTTATGGGGTATTTGTGGTAGAGGATAATAAGATGGAACATGAAGTGTGCATCTGTGTATAAGTGTGTGTATACACATACTATATATATGTAACAGTAGGACAGTTATATAGGAGTAATGGGACAGAATAACATTACAGGAACACAGTTCATATTATATGAATTGGAAGATTTTATAAAGGAAGTTGGGGTACAGATCTTTATTGATACTGTCTCCAAGACATGAGATGAAATAATTGTGGACTGCTTAGGCTTAGTAGGTAGTATTTCCCATTAAATCAATTAAGTTTTTAAAATTTAAGTTACTGTGTTATGCATGCATGTGCATGCATTCACTCTGTTCGTGTGTGTGTGTGTGTGTGTGTGTGTGTGTGTGTGTGTGTGTGTGTGTTTGTGTGTTCGTGTGTTCGTGCGTTCGTGCGTGCGCATCTCGGGGGAAAGAGGACAATCTTGTGGAGTTGTTTCTCACCTTTATGAAGATTCTAGAGATTGAACTTAACTCATCAAGCCTGCATCGTAAGCACTTCTACCCATTTGCTGGCCCCTAATTTACTGTTAAGATATTGTATTTGTTTTGTATATGTGTATGTTATTCACAAACCACAGCATGCCTGGAGAGGTCAGAGGAAAACACCTGGGATTCCTTTCCTGCCATCTTGTGGGATCATGGATGGATGGAACTCAGATCAGGCCCTGGAAAGTATCTCTACCTGATGAGCCATCTCACCATCTCTAACTTACGAGAGAGAGAGAGAGAGAGAGAGAGAGAGAGAGAGAGAGAGAGAGAGA